ATCTTACCTCTCTTCCTTAACTTATTTCAATGGTTTGAATTGCTAACCTAGAGTACTAAATTATTTATAAGGATCTCCTGACTCATCTTAAAAAAAATCTATTTTAACCAAAACAGTATATCCCTATGTAAATTGAAATTAAAATAGATTCATTAAGTTCAGGTTCTAATCTGGCTATATATGGCCTATAGGGTATAAAAAAATCCCTATCCTAATATGCAAATCAAGTAATATGATCATATGTTATCCATTTAGTCTACAAATAAACTCCATGTGGACTCATGTGTGTGGTAAACTCCATGTGTGTGTAAGCTAATCATTAATATCCCTTTAATCTCCTACATCATTAAGTGAAATTCCATGTGTGTGTGTAATCTCCCTTAGATATTGTACAATCTGGATAATTTATATTCATGCGCAAAATTCAAATTAGTAATTAACTCATAATTTTGCCTTTTCATCCCTCCCTCCACTAGTGTAGGCTAACACTATGTTAAAGATCAATAGGACTTTAATTAGCTTGTAATGTGGCTAGGATTAAGGTTAGATATGGGATAATGTATAGCTCAAATCACCCTAAGCACATAATCAATCTAGAACCTATTCATAGCTTTTTTTTCCTTCACTTAGTATACCCCTTTTCCATCAAAATTTTTCTTTTGTTCAACACTTCATTCTTTCTTTCCCTTTTTTGTTTTCTCAATTTCACACCCCCAAACTTATTTCTTTTATAGGATAATGAGATGATACAATCATATTTTTGAACTTTTCATCGCTTTTTCTTTTATCTTGACTACCTTTTTCACTATATGGCTCATAACACATTCTAAACTGACTTATGCACTTAGGAATGAGAGATGCAGGAATTGTTGGAAATAATAATATAAGGGTCTAGGTTAAAAATTAAGTGTTCAAATAAAGAAAATATGTCATTAGGCTCAAAGGGGGAAACTAAGGATAATTTATGTAGAGGCAGGCTACAAAAGACTCAATCGGTCCAAACATGGCCTAAATCATCTCCTTAACTAAGTATAACCTAGGATTTTGCCTCGAGAGAAAATCAAACAAATTCTAGAACTTAATACATAATTCAAAAATTTGCATTCACATAAACCTTTTCTAAATATATACAATAAATCTAAAGAAAAGACATAGTGTTCAAAATGTAGAAATTTCAACCTAATAGTAAAGCTTAGTATGAGAATTTACATAACACTTAAACAATATTCACATGCTTTGAAGAATCAAGATAGGAATATAACTGAGTTCTCATCATTGGATAGGTAAATTAAATGAAACTAATACAAGTAAATCTAGTTGAAAAAAAAATTAACGAAAATAAACTAACTTAAACTATCACAAAAACTAATAACAATAAAACCTTCCCCCAAACTTAAATTGCACATTGTCCTCAATGTGAAAAGCTAAAAAGAATAAGAAAAAGAAACTTCCCTATCAATGGTGGTAGTGCCTTGAAAGCTCTAATCTTCTTTCTCCTCATCTTAATGCTTTCCAAATCTACATACACAACAAAACAAGCTAGGGAGAGTTTATAACTACTTATTTACATTGAAAAACAAAA